CCTCGGAGCCCCAGAAAGAGGCTGTCAGCCCCAGAAAGAGGCTGGCGGGGGTTGCAGGACCAAGGAAGTAGAGGGAGATGAGGGCAGGGCCAGGACCAGAAGCGGTGCTCCTGGGGCCCAAGAAAGGCACTGTGTTGGTCTGAGTGAGAAGGGTCAGGAAGCAGTATTGGTTCCCCAGGTGTCTGGGGCCCCAAGACTAGGAATGGCGCAGGGCCCAAACTAGGAGTATAGAACAGCGGGAGGGATGGAAGGGTGAATGTGGTTTAGAGAGTCCGGGCACGGAGAGCTGCGCTATAGACTTACCCCAAGAGGCCTGAGGATGGTAGTGCAGTCTAGGAGAGTTAGTCGGTGGTGCAGGCCCAGGTGGTGCAGGCCCAGGGAAGCAGAGAGGGGTGAGGGCGGGGCCAGGACCAGAAACGGTGTTCCTGGAGCCCAAGAAAGGGACTTAGTAGGTCTGGGTGAGAAGGATCAGGAAGCAGTATTGGTTCCCCAGGTGTCTGAGGCCCCAAGCCTAGGAATGGCGCAGGGCCCAAACTAGGGGGGGGGGGGGGGGGGGGAAATGGAAGGGTGAATGTGGCTTAGGGAGTCCCCTGTCTTTCATTTATTTTTATGTTGTAGTATCAGGGATGGAATCCAGGACTTTGCAACTCAGGAAAGATCCCTACTACTAAGCCTTACCCCCATCCCTTCCTTTATTTCTCAAAGGCTGGGCTTCAGTATCCCTCTACTGTCCCAAGCCCTTGTCTCTAAGTTCTAAATGCTCACCTGTGCCTGAAGTAGCTGTGGGTGACAAGATGATGCACAACAGGCCTGATGCCCAGGGAGACATGCCTGAGACCCCTGCTTCTCCTAGAGGCTGGACAGGTAGGCCTTGCTGAAGAACCTATAGGAAAGTAAGGCTACATAGTGGGCTTGGGGGAAGGAGAGATGCTTTTATGCCATGCCTGATACTGAGGGTAGGACCAGGGGTGCAATGTACACAGGTCTGCTCCCTTGCACTCCTAGCTCAGCCTAGACCAGCCTTCAGGTCCCTGCCATTAAGGGAGGCAGGGGACACTACCCGGGAGGGGCTGGCTCTTGCCATGTCCAACCACTGGGACAACACTACCAGATCTTTGGAAGATGGTGGCACCAGAGCAAACTGCTGCAGGTGGAGCCATGACAGAGATAGGGGTCCCCCACCCAGTCTCTGCAGTACATCATGGACTGCTGTCCTGAGCTACAGTGAACCCACCTCTCCTCCCCAGCTCAAAGGTCAATGTGGGCTCTTGGGACACTGGGCAGGAGTTAGGCTATTGAGACTGTTTAATCACTGTTCATACTATTGGAAGGTTGCTATTGTAAAGCACCCTTTAATTCCTATTTTTCCTTTAAATAAGCTGAAATGCTGGGGCTTGGTAATTTGTCACCCTGACAGTTGTCAGACCCTTCCCTGGTTACCCTGCTGCTGCCCTGAGCAAAGGACCGTCAGCCCTGCAATCACAGCTCTGTTCTCACCCTGGCCTGGCTGCTTTGAACCCTCCCTGTCTGCCTTGCTGAGCTGCACTCTGACCACAATTGCTGATTGCCAAAGCACAACGTGGCCCTTAAGGCATGGTCTCAGCTGCTGTGGTTTCAAACAGCTTGTGCAGAATGCAGGGCAGACTTTCTGCCCATCGCCAGCATCTGTGAATTCAATGGAAGACTGTGTCCTGATTGGTGTAGACACTGCTTGCCACACCCTGTTCTGAATGGTTGCCTGTGCTGCCATGTGGAAGGGTTCTCCAAAAGGGTCTTTTCCACAGTGCTGCAGGGAGGAGAGGGCTGCTGTAGGGAGCAGAGCCGTCACAGGCAAGGCCAGGTTGAATGAGAGAAGACAAGTAGCCAAGGTTTAAGTCTGGAGAGAGGCTGAGAGGAGGCAGAGATGAGAAACTCTGGAATCTTTAAGGGTCAAGGGTCCTAGCACCCGGGTCTGAGAACTGTGACACTTGACAATGTGGAGGACCAAGGGTCCTATCACCTTGGGACAAGAACCTTAGCACTCAGGGCTACAATAGCTGCTCAGGGCTGGAGGTTAAACCTAGGGCAATGAGCCTCTAACCCGAGCACCTGGGACCCTGAGACTCTGGCTTCTACAGACTGAAGCAACAGCGCTCTGGTTCCCAGGGTTGGAGGTGCAGCCCTTGCTTGTGCCTGCCAGCCCCTGGGCCTTGGGCACTCACGGGTTGGGAACTGCCTGCACCAGAGAGCATCTTCAGTCATTCCTAAGAGGGTAGGGTCGAACTTCAGTCAGCTGACTTATAACAGGGCGGTGTCTAAGCTCAGGCCTCACAGTCCTAGAGCTCCCAGTCTCACCCAGTAAGCCGGCCTGTGCGCGCGCACCTTCCCCTCCCCGTGTGCTCCTGGTGCTGGGCTGTGCTGGCCGCCCGCCTGGGGCGGGTCCTAGGCCGAGGGCAGGACCGGGCGTGTCCTGGGTCCCGGCTTCTCAGCCCCTTGTCGCAGCTGTAGACAGTCACTCGCCACGCACTGGGCACAGCATGGGGAGGCGCTGCTGCTGGTGGAGGCGGCGCCTGCAGGTGGTCGCGTGTCTGGGCGCTGCGATCCTGCTCCTGTGCGCTGCGCTGCGTGCCCTGCGTCCGGGTGAGTGCATGGGGGCCATCCCGGCCGGGTCCCCCCATTTCCCACCATCCAAAGCCCCCCTCCTCCATCTCCGGGGATGGCCAGGCACCTGCCCCTGCTCGGGGTTGGGCCTATCGCCGTGGAAGGCAGTGGTGATCTAGGGTTCCTCCACATCCCACAAGGATCTTTCCCCCATAGCCAGGGCCGACGACGATGGTGGTGGTGGACATTTGGCCAGTCCGGGGATGCTGTCTCGGTAACTTCTGCCCCATTCTCTGAGCCCCAGTAGCCCCGCGACTTAAGCTGGACTAGCGCGAGGCAACTTTGAGTTCCCGCCTGGGACTCTCCTGCTACATCCAAGACCCTGCTGGGTCCTCCATCCGCACCAGGAAGGGCTAGACTGTGCTGGCCTCGGAAGAGAGGATCTACGACCTGCGCCTACCAGAACCTACCAGGCATGTGGCCAGTCTCACTCTGAATTTGCCCAAGTCTCCTTGAATCTTCATGAAGCCAACCGCTTCATAGAGGAAGCAGAGGGCAGTGGCCAGGTGTGAAGTGGCTGGAGGTGGCCAGGCAGTGGGCCATGTTAGTGAGTTTGCCTTTCAATCTGTTTGTGTGTCTGAGGTCAGTTCAACTCCAGACAGGCCTACAGCCCAGGATGGTGGGGCAGTGGGTTAGGGATGACTAAGGACAAGGGTAAGCGGTTTTCAGGATGGCACTCACTGATGGAGAGACCCATCAACTAGACTGAAGACACTCAGCAAGCTTCACCTGCTGGGTGGCCATCTGTCCCCTCCCATGGTATCAGCAGTTCCACCTATGAAATGGGTATTGAGTCTGTCCTTATAGGACTTCTGGGATGGTGAGACTGAATGTGGCAGTAAATAGTGCTTGGTCTCCAGACCTTTCATCTGTTGGCTTCATTCTTGGGGCCTCAGGGATGAATCCAGGATTTGGCTGGGGTCCAGATGCATGGAGTTGGGGAGGCCTCAGGAGCAGTCACTAGGCTTCTGCCTACTTACCCCACTACTTAATTTCTTCATTTTCAGACACAAGTGACCAGGCCTGGATGCCTCTCAAGCCCCCTGGAAGGAGCTGACACTCCCCACCCCCCCTATAGTGGCCCTGTACATGAGCTGGCTGGCCATGTGTAGGTGTTTTCTCAGGTCTAGAGTGTCCCTTGGCACAATCTGGGGTGTGGTCCCAGTGCCTGCGGTTGCCATAGTCCCTGCCCACCCAGTCATTCAGTAGACAGATGTTTACCTAGTCCTGGGCCACAGTGGCTCTGGTCCCTCAGGGCTGTGTGAGAAGGCTCCTAAATGTCTGGGCCATAGCAAGCATCTGCAAAGGAGCATGTGTCTGGGTGGCTGTCAGTATGTTTCCAGGTCTCTTGGTTCACATCTCTCCTGCCTCCTCCTCCAGCCAGGTCTGAGAAAAGAGAAGCAAGGGTGACTCTGGGAGGAGACTAGGTGCAGGCAAGTTTATCAGATGGGAAACTGAGGGAAGGAAATTTAAGACTGAGGGGAAAATAGGCAATAGGAGTGGAAGGCCCATGGGTGATGTGCTGGGCTGGTGGGTAGGGTCCTGAGGACCTAGAGCTGGACAGTACTGTAAGTCAGAGCCCAGATGTGAATGGGCTCGAACGGCAGCTAGTTGGGGAGATGTTATCTTTAAATAGACCTTTGCACTGGGTGAGGCACAAGGGTTACAAGAAAATAAACAACCTTCTTCCTTATAGAACTGACCTTCCAGAAGGGTTAGCTCACACATAGGTCAGTTGATTTCAACAGTGATGCTGTGAACAAATTAAAAGGAGGCTGATTTAGAATACCTGGAGATGCTTTCTGTCACATTCCAGTGGGAAACTGGTCAGTGAGAAGCATCTACCCATGTCAGGGTTACTGGGAAAGCATTCCAGGCAGGGGGAAGTCAGTGCAAAGGCGCTGTGGCAGGAGGAAAGGTCATCTTGGTGAGGTGAATAAGTGGGAGGGTGGAGGTGCTGGAGGGGTCCTGGTCAGGACGTAGACCCCACTATGAGCCAAGCTAGTGTGAAACTGCATGTTTCTTCCAGTCCTAGGGATCAAATCTGAGCTCCTACATGCTAGGCAAGTGTCCAGTGCTCTACCACTGCGCTAACTTCCTAGCCCCCTGCCCCTTAAAGTTTTTTGAGACAGAGTCTCAATAGTTAGTTGCCCAGGGTCACGATGTAGTCTAGGCTGGACTTAAACTTAAAAATCCTCCTGCTTCAGCTTCCTAAGTAGCTGGGATTACATGCCTGTACCACAAGGTGGGGCTGCTATATGAATCTTGGGACAACTCAGGTAGGATAAGCAGAAAGTTTCTTACTATCTGTGAGCCCAGATGGAGCAGGTGTGACTGATAGTTACACAGGCACAGTGGAACTTGTGATCACAGAATGGCTGGTCAGATAGGGCTTCCCTTACATGCAGCTTGTAAAACTTGGTGAATAGAGTTTAACTTAGTACAACTGGAAAGAGGCCACCCAATGTGTATCACCCTCCTTCTGGCCTAACCACAAGAAGACATGTCCCTAACATTGGGGCTCCCCAAAAGCCCATGGGTGCTGAGTGAGGCATGCAGACTCTGAGGCACTAGCCTGGCTCCCACCAGAGCTTCTGTTGGTTTGTCTTGCAACATGGGCAGTGAGAACTTATTAACCACAATCCTGCTTTTGCAATCTGCCCTAAGCTGGACTCCCTTACCCAGCTCCCAGAGCGACCTGCTCTGCCCTGCCTGGAGTGCTAGGGAGAGTGGGGAAGTAGGGGCTGAGGACAAGGTCAGCTTGCCTGGGCTTCTCTGTGATGTTCAGCCCCCACACTCTGCTTGCAAGGGAGGGCCACCCCTTGCTTTTGCAGGTGTCCTGCTGTATTCATCACGCCTTCTGTAACCTTGTATACCTTGCCCCTCCCTCTAGGACTGGCACTTCCTCTTCAGTCAGTAAAGCAAAGCTCAAAGGACTTTGGGGACCCACAGGTCATACAGGATAAACAGGCTAACTCAGGCAGCCCTGATTTTTTGGTCCTTCTGACCCTCAGTTTCCCCATCTGACAAATGGGATAGTAACAGTTTTCTCATCTGACAAATGGGACAGTAACAGTTTCCACCAGAATGCAGATCAGCATGCACATAGCACCGAAGCAGTGTGTGCTGTATCACCTGCCCAAGATCTCAAGGGCCCCATCTTTGTGTCCTGACAGGATCCCAGGCAAAGCCCACAGCTGTGGCCTAAGGTGCCTTCTCGAGGATCTCTGTCCATCCTGCAGGGGCACTGAAACCTCCCAAGGCTAGGACCAAGAGTTACAGTGGTCCTCACATTGGTGTTCTGGGATGAGGGAGGTGGCCTGCCTGGACAGTTTGCATGCCCCTATCATCCAGGCCATTTCCGACCCCTGAAGGCCTGCTCTGGTCCCCTTCCAAAGTACCAGTTTTCTGGCTCTCTGCCTCTGCCTTCTGCCAGCCATGGTCCCTTCTACCCACAAGGCTCTTTCCTCATCTATCTCTGTGTCTTTCTCCTTCCCGCCTCCCTCCCTCAGCTGTTCTCTCCCCTTCCCTCTCCCCTCCCAAACCTCTGGGTAGTTGTGCCCTTCTTAGCTGCAGCTCAGCTGCTGAGGGGGCAGGGGATGTGGGTGGAAGACAGGTCCTAGCTCTGCTCAGGCCCCTCCTTGGCTATATAAAACCTGCTGCCTCCTCTCCCCACAGGGTAGGGGAGGGAGTGCTGGAACAGGCCAAGTGGGGCCTGGGTGATGGGGATTGAGGCTACTGGGGCTCCAGTGGTCCTCAGGGGGTTGGACCCATGGACTATCAAGGCAACCTGTTCGACTGACCTACGCCCACCTGTCCCTTCCATGGCCAGCCTGCCCTTGCCAGGTCTCTGTGCAGGCAGGGTGGAGGCAGCCAGGCTTGTAATCTGTGGCACAGCTATTCTGGGCTCTCATCCTCCACCCACTTAGTGTCTGTTGTGGGAGCCACTCTTGGGCAGCTGTGGTCTGGCTAGGAAATGGAAGGTCTTGGGTAAGGGGTAGCTTCTGGAAGTCCAGGAGCCTTGGAGCAGGGCCCTGGGACAGATAGCTGTGAGGAATCCCTGCAAGCTGTTCATTGTTCCCCGTCCACAGACCTGGAGGGCACCACCGTTTCTCAGTTGCTTATTGAGGCCCCAGGAAACCCTTTCACTGGGTGGCCTCAGGTTAGAGAGTCACTTCTTTTTTTATTTATTTTTATTTTATGTATATGAATGTATTGCCTGCATGTATGTGAGTGCACCCGTGTCGTGCACTGCTGCGGAAGTCAGAAGAGGGCTTCGGATTCCCTTGGAAGTTGAGTTAAGGATGGTTCGTAGCCGCCATGTGGGTGCTGGGAACTGAATCCGGGTCCTCTGCAAGAGCAGTCAGTGCTCTTAACCACTGAGCCATCTCTCCAGCCCCAGAGAGTCACTTCTTATCTGCACCACTTCTTCCCTGGTGATGAGGGATGTCATCTTGGCATGGTGCAACCCAGCTCAAACTCCCAGTGATTGGGTGACAGTTGCTGTACTCAGCAGCAGCAGCAGCAGCAGCAGCAGCGGCCAGACCCTCTGGGCCCCCCCTCCCCCAAAGCAGTACTGCCCTTTCCTGTCAGCTCACTGGCTGATGACAATGATGCTCTGACAGGAAGGCAGCTGGACACAGCGATCCCTCACTGGGTGGAGTCTGGAAAAGTTCAAGTTCTAAACCCATTGACAAACTAAGACAGGCCCTGTGCCTCCCAGGCTTCAGCCTCTTGCACAAACCCTGGTCACAGGCAGCCCAGCTTGTCTCAGGGACACACACATGGCCCGGGGGGGGTTGTGTAGAGGTGGCCCTGCAGTCTTAGGGACACTGAGGAATGTAGGCTGGAGACTCAGAGAGTGTCCCTGCCTGGTTCTGGGAAACTTGTATTTAGCAAGAGGTGGCATCAGCACCACAGGGCTCCACAGTGCATCACAGAACCTGGTGTCCCGCACTCTGACATCCTGCAGTCTGCCTGTGCCACCTCTCAGCCAGAATTCTGTCTGGTCACACCTCAGACCTAGGGGCTGGACAGCCTCAAGACACCACAGGTGTGGCTGTCAGGAGAGGATCCTGGGACAGAGCACATGGGGGTGGGTGGGGCTGGGCACTTAGGCCTTTTCTAGAGGACCGGTGGGCTCTTCCCATCTTGTCCCCTCCTCCAATGTTGGAGAGTAGCACACAGGATCAGGAATGGCCTCTGAAAGCCCTGCCAGTGCCTCCCCTTCTACCAAACCCCCAAGATGAAGGGAAGACACAGGAGGGAAACTGAATCACATAAGCGAGTTAAATGTACCCTTTGTAAGTTGGCCAGGCTCCACCCTGTTCCCAGCCAGCAGTGACCTCTCTCTCCTTGTGCCCGTCAGCATTTGAAAACAAGGCCCTGGGCTCCATCTGGCTTGGGGGAGCCAGGAAGAGTCCCTTGCAGCGGCTGCATGACCTGGACCAGGTAGGTAGTCTCCAGGACACGGGCTGTCATGTACTCTCTCACATGGCGGGGGTGGGGGGTTTCCTGCCTAGCCCTGTGCTCCAGTTTCCCCATCCATCCTCCTTCTCATCACAGCTTGAGGCCATAGCCCGTGCCTGTCCTGTTCTATGTGTTGCAGACACAAGAGAGTGAAAAGAACCCTGTGCCTGTCCTGGGAGTTCACAGACCAGTAAGCAGATGGTCATTAAGCCCTCAAATCTTACATCTGCCACAGCAAAGAAACATGCAGGGAACCCCCACCTTATCATCTCAAGGCAGATGGACCAAGCAGCCCTGCTGGGATTACACACAGCCTCTAACATGCACACAATGGTAGAGTTTCCTTGACTCACCATAGGGTTAGGTCTCAAGAAACCCAGTGTAGGTTTAAAATATCATTAAGTCAAAATTCTTCCAATGTCCTGATTCCCACCCACTTACTCCTCAGCAATCCATAAATCAAGGCTACTGTTATCTCTGTTTACAGATGGGGAAAATGAGGCAGGGAGGCTGAGTACCTTGCAGAAATCATGAAGTCCCACAAAGACTGGAACCACTTGGGAAGCTCACTAGGAGGAACCAGGGCTGTAGTGCAGGATACGGCCTCAGCTGTGACATCCCAAAGGACCCAGTGGAGGGCCAGCCTCCTGGAGGCTTCTTCACCTGAAGAAGCACAGTGACCTCACCACAGTTCACTTCTTCAGAGCCTGGGTTTTGACGTTCATTGAGGAAGCAGTACTGACTGTCTTGGAATCCAATTCATGAATCTATAAACAACAGCAGTGCTGACTGAGAGACCAGCAGCCCCATGGGACAGCAGTGATATACTGTCCTCCACCTTCCTCTAGGTGTTGACTTCTGTTCCTAGGCCAGAGCCAGGTTACATGTCTCCCTGGGCCCATCACTTTTTCAAAGGTGTATGAGATTGCATGGCTGGTTCTCCTGAGGCTGGGCATGGGTCCTGACATACCAGGCCAGCTGGCTAGGAGGGAGGAGAACTGTTGGCTGTCTGGCATTCCAAACTGGGTTGTGAGGAGGCTGAGGGCAGCCTGGCCTTTGAGACCCTGGGGTGAAGCCAGACTTTTGAGGCCACTCCTGAGGGTGGGAACAGAATCTTCCCAGAGCCACAGCTATGGCTGAAATTGGCAGACTCTCCCATGGCAAACTGGTGACAAAGAAATGCAATGGTCATGATGGGGCACTGAACACTGCAGCAGTTTAGTGCAGGGCAAGCCTCCTCAGGCCCATTCTGGTCCTCCCCAGAGGGTTGGGGTCCTAATGTGGGATTCCAGGCATGTTCTAGGCATGTGAGTAGTGTCAACAGTGCTGTCAGGGGTTCATTCGAACTCCAAAATCTCACCTTATGGCAGTGTGCCATCTGCCTGCCTGTCTCTGCTTTAACTTTCTGTTTGGGCCTCAGGCAGGGTAACCAGCAGAGGGCCCCATATGGCATTCCTTACTCTCTCTCTCCTGCTTTGAAGCCAGCTGCTGTCTGGATTCTGGGACTATCATCACTCACCTCTGAAGGAAAGAGTATCCCTCCAGGTAGCCTTTCTGGAACGTTCCATTTTCTTCCCTACCTTTTAAAACACAAAAGATAAGTCACTTAGTGCATCCTGGACTGCTGCGGGATATTTCTACAAGCACCAGAAACACAAATGTACCTGTATGTGAGTACACACCTGCACACTCCATGCCACCAGCATCCCCCGACCCCATCT